ACTTACAAAAGAAGACTTCCAACATTGCTTTGACCAATGGAAAAAACGATTGAAACGGTTTGTGTGGCGAGAGGAGGGGAGTACATTGAAGGGGAGCATTCGATTGTAGAATAATTTTTAAAATAAAACTCTTTTTCATAAGCAGTCTAGTTATTTATTAGCCAGGCCTCGTATGGGACCTAAAGTTTAATACCGGTTCCGAACAGCAAATTTTTAAAGAGGCGTTCATGGCATAGATACTCTCGGTAGATTGCCACTTCTTTCCGAGAAGAGACACGAATGTAAATATTTTAGTTTCTACCGGAATCGAACCCAGGACCGCTATAGCACAGTAGAGCAGTGCGTTTCCTGCTATGCCACTCGTGCTCAAAAACTTACAATATAATGGACAGACAACAAATATTATTTGGCATTAGAAACATACAAAATCAGATTAACTAAGATGTTATTTTGCACAATTCGTCTAGCATTTACAGAGAAAAATTTGCCAATTACTTTGTAAATAAAGGCGCTCTACAATGGCAATGGAGGAAAGCTGCAAATAATGAATTTTAAGCTAAGTGGAATTCTAAGCTAGTAATAGAAAATGTATAGTTGGATGTAGATTGTAATGTTAATTACTATAATAATTTTATAAGTAAACATGGAACAGTTCTGTACTTTATAATTTATTCGAATTATTATAAAGAAACAATGTTTACATCTAAATAAAATTTTTTTATAAATATAAATTTAAAAAATCATGCCTCTTCTCCTAATTTTAAAGCATTCATCATAATTTTAGTTTTAAATAGCCTTCCATTTTTACATGAAAATTTTCTTAAAATATCACCCAGTTGAGTCAAAAAATCATTCAATAGCGTCAGAAATTAGCTATCCTCAGATATTTTTAGCAAGTCTTTTTTGAATTCAGAATCAGATGACTGCTTCCTTGGACCTGAAATACAATATAATATATTTCATTATATAATATAATACCATAATAAAATATTTCATCAATTTCGTTCGATAACAAATAACTCACAATATCTATACTTATATCAGGTATAACATAATCAAAGTAATCAAAAATAAAAATAACCCAGTCTTAGAAAAAAATTATTTAAATGTCAATGTAAAACTACTTACGTTTAGGATGCTCTGACAAGCTAATAAAATTGAACAAGCTTGAATTTATCCCTGATGTATTCTTATCGCCATCCTCTTCGTCTTCCACTGGATGTTTGTCATATGAGTTACTAAAATTTGCTTCACTGGGGTTAAGGGCGTGTCCTGTGAAACGTTACTTTGGAAACTGCAAAATATATGTAGATAACTATTTATATTTCTGGCCTTGGTAGCAGTAAGTGTTGCCAGGTGCCATCTGACGTTATCATTGGAAACTTGACATTGTTGAACATAAAAACATAAGAACACATTGTCATTTGAACGCGGTTTGTGTTGTTTACAGTGAATTGAAAAATTCATGTCGGGCAAAAAATGGAATTAACTCCTGAACATTTTAGTGCAATTATTTTTCATTACTTTCGACGTGGATTATCAAGACAAGAATGAATCGATGGACTTAATTCTTTACACAGCGAGAAAGCACCATCCTACAGCACTGTAAAAAACTGGTATAACGAATTCAATCGTGGCCGACGTTCGCTCCAGGACGAATTCCGTGAAGGTCGTCCAAAATCAGTTGTTGTGCCAGAAAATATCGATGCTGTGCGTGAACTGATAAAGCAAGATCGTCATGTGACATACCGTGAGATTGAGGCATCTTTGGGCATTAGTATGACAAGCATCAATAAGAAATTGTATGAAAATTTGTGCGTAAAAAAAATTTGTTTGCGTTGGATCCCGCATAATCTGACAAACGCTCGAAAGAAGACTCGTGTTGATTGCAAGGAAATGTTGAAAAAATACATTCAAGGTGCATCAAAGGCTGTGTATAATATCTACACAGATGACGAATCATGGATCTATGCATATAAGCCCGAAACAAAACAGCAATCGACTGTATGGGTCTTCCAAGACGAGTCAAATCCAACAAAAGTTGTTCGCGGAAGAAGCACATCGAAGCAAATGGTTGCCTGTTTCTTCGGCATTGTCGGTCACGTGGCGACAGTGGCGTTAGAGCACCGTAGGACGCTCAATTCTAAATGGTACACAACCATTTGTTTGCCAGAAGTCATCGGAGAAATTCGAGAAAAGCAGAAGAAGAGGCGAATCATTCTTCATCATGACAATGAGAGCTCTCACACATCGGGTCAAACAAAGGAATTTTTAACCGTCCAAAACATCGAATTGATGGGTCCATCCACCGTACAGCCCTGATTTGGCACCCAATGACTTTTTTGTTCCCGCACGTCAAAAATAAATTACGTGGTCAACTATTTTCGACACCCGAAGAAGCGGTTGATGCATTCAAAACGCATGTTTTGTAGTTACTTCAATCGGAGTGGAAAAAGTGACTCGAAAATTGGTTCAAACGCATGCAAAAGTGTATTAATCATCACGGATAATATTTTGAAAAACAATAAAACCAATTTCGATCATAAATATTTCTTTTTTCAGTATTAGGCCAGAAATATAAGTAGCAACCCTTGTATGTATTTAAAAATAATTGACTATTTTATATGTATTGTAAACTGTTGGTATTGAAATTAACTTAGTAGAATTTATTCATTTAGAGCCTGGAAATCATCGAGTTACACAAGAATTCCATTTGGTCGTAATATCAAAAGCCATCTTTTTTTGGATTACTGATGTTTTTGAACTACTAGATATATACTCGGTCGTCTTATGTCTGCTTTTCTTATAAGAGTCACAAAGGTTTCTCCAGTAGCTTTTAATTATCTCAACGTTGAATTTCTCTAAAAATTTATAAACAAATATTTCGTAAAACATTTTACCTACAAAAAGGAATTTATGTACCTGTATTGAATGTACCTTTTCAATATTAAAATAAATATTACCGTCTATATCCTTCTTAACTTTAAGAAGGATTAACCGACCTTTTTTAATAGTTAATAGACTTCTGTTTTTCACTGAGATGGTATGATTCTGTAGACTTTTCATAACAGCATTTATTAGCAGTTCATCCTAGTCAGCACAAGTTTTATCCTCCTTGTTTCGTTTTTACTTCTTTCCAACAGACAAGGAAGATTGTTCATCATTGTCACTAACATTATCGTTGGCCACTTTTTCCTGAGCCATATCTGCTATAACTATAATAACTTATTTTTATGACAAATTGTCAATAACCATAGATTATGTCTGATTGAAAAAATTAAGTAAACAACAAATTTAATACACATATATTTAATAAACCAAATATGAACTTACCTCTAAATAGACGATTAGAATTGTCAATATAAGTGCTTTCTTTTGAAGCATCCATATTTGCAAAACATGAAAGATTGAGATAATTATAATACTTATTTGGTAACAAGTAATAATAAGTTGCAATATATACAAGACTTATACAAGACTTGAACAAAAGCACCAATAACTACTAAAACACAACTACTAAGTCTTTAAAACTACAAACTACAAGTCTATAAACTACAAAAACACTAATTACTAGGTCTACATATATTAAAATACTTTTAAATAATATTTAATATTTTCTATGGATACTTACATCAGAATTTACTTCTTTTAGCACAAAATCCTGTGACTCCATCATGTCGATCATTTACTGTTATTCTATTGTTATTTTACTCTAGCTTTTAATGTTATTCTACTGTTACTCTCCTCCAGCCTTTAAACACTAATTTCAAAATAGGACAATGTAGGACGCAATGACGCGCTATCTGTTCCGCTCTCTCGATTCCGCAGTATAAAAGGCAAAATGCGGAATAGCGCTGATTGGTTGTTTCTATGACATACTCTCTAGTCCGCAGTTCTATTACGCAATTTCTAATTTCACCCTTAAAGTGCCGTCACATAAGGCGTAACTTGCATAGGCGTTACTTGCGTCAGCCAATCAAATCGCCTCAATAACTACGTTGACATTTACCACAGCGGGTTTGATTGGCTGACGTAAGTTACATTTACGCAAGTTACACCTCATGTGATGGCACCCTTAACGCTCACGCACTGTAATGGTTTCTACCCATAGGACGCGAAAATGTTTGCCGCGCGACAAAAAGCAACACAGCAACCAATAAACTTTAAATTCTCATCAAAAAACAGCACGTTGATTGGCTATCGCACAAACTTCCGCCGCGCGGCAAGCGCTGCCACGCCTTGTGGGCAGAAGCAAAAAGCGCTTATACTCACATTATTCTATCTCGATGGGAGAAGCGTTTATTGTCGCTGAGTTAAGACGTCACAATTATGCCATTACGCGTTCCGTGAGCGTACGTAATGTTAAAGGAAATGGTGGAAGCGATTCTTTTTAATGTGCATGCATCCAAAGAGAACACACCCATAAGTGCGTTCCACTTTAAACTTGCAACGATCGCGACTAAAGGCCGAATCCATAATGTCCAATCATATTAGTTAATTTACCGAATTGGCATTGGATCTAAAAATATAAGAATGGAATATAAGGCAGATCCGGTAATAAATCCGCAATAAGAGGGATATAGTTCTGTATCTTTCTACAATATGACACTGTCGGGTGTTTCCGCCGCATACCCGATAATTCCCAAAAGTATAGATATATTTTATATTCTTCAACCTCCGAATTAAAGTAGATTTGCGCAGCCTGAAATTATACAGTACGGCATTTCTGTATATAATTGCTTGCACACAACTTGAAATAAACGTAAAACTCAATAAAATGATATTCGATGGTCGACGAAACGCTAGCAAATATAATATATAATCCGTAGAACAACTCCATGAACAATCTGTTAACATTTAATCATTATATACAATATGATAAAATATTATATTTCATCTACCAATAAAGTGTTATTTATATTAATAACTGACATATTTTTTTTTATTTTTTGGAACGATATAAATGTGGATATTGCAACTCGACATTAAAATTGGATCGAATAACGGAATATTCTTGTTTAACAAATAAGGAGATATAATCACTTGTGATAAATAATGAAAAAATCTGTTTTATAACAAATAACATAAATTTCTCCAATATCTTTATAGCACAAATATCTTAAAAATATTAGGTCTAGTAAAAAGTAATCCATTATTTTTCCAATAGAGG